ATCCCAGGACTTTGGGAAGCTGAGGCAGGCAGATTGCTTGAACTCAGGAGTTCAAGACCAGCCTGAGCAACATGGAAACACCATGTCTCTATGACAAACACAAAAATTAGCCAGGAGTGGTGGCATGTGCCTGTAGTCCCAGTGAGCCATGACTGCACCACTGTACTCCAGCCTGGGTAACAGAGCGAGACTCTGTCTCAAAAAAAATAAAAAAATAAATAAAGCAGAGACTCTGGAGTCAGACCTGGGTTCCAAATCTCTGGTAACTTGGAGGAGTCATTTAAGCTCTGACTCTGAGTATGGGTCTGGGTTTCCTTATCTGTAAAATGGGGGAAGTCTTAAGTGCCCCCCAGGGCTGTTGTGGAGATTAGATGAAATAATCTGCAAAAAAGCACCCGAAACAGTGCTTCCCACAAAGCACCTCATATACCTTAGAGGGAAGGAGGGAGGCAGGAAAGAAGGAAACTGTAGGAGATGGTGGTCGGGGGGTTGGATATTAGGCAGGAGGTTTTAGAGGGAAAGGAGCTTGTTAGAACTGCTGGTGGGAGAGGGGCCTGGGGAGGGTCCATCTGGATGGCAAAGCCTCCTGAGACCCTCTGGGAAATGAAGCTAGAGGCAACCCCTGGAGTGTTTTTCAAGGCAGGAGCTGAAGGAAGAATGGCTTGGAACCACCTCCCACCCATCTTCCTTTTTTATGGTAGAGGGCACTGGGGTCTTAACAGGACATATCAAGTCCTCTGTGTGTATGTCAGCAAGCCATAACATTCTTTCTCTTTCTCTGTGTAGTGATCTCCTAATGAGGGACAACCTGTTTGAAATAATAACAAGCTCCAGGACCTTCTACGTACAGGTAAAATGCTCCCTTCCAGAAGACTCCAGCGTTCCGTTTCTGTGAATGATGCACTCATAGGCCCTGTCCTTTCCTTTGCTTTCTCTTTTCATTTGCTTGAAGTTTCTAGGCAGTAAATTTAGCCCCTGAGAGTCAGTCTGAGTCCCATTTCATCCTAAACAGGATGTTTGCCAAAAACTTCCCAACCATAAAATAATGAAAGTGGGTTGCGCCGCTCTACTGAGGAATGTGAGTGTGTACCAGTTGCTCTCAGCTGCTGGGCTCCAGCTAAGCAGAGAAAAGGAGAACTGGTCAGTGATTTCACTTCTCCTTTGGAGGGTATTTATAAGTCTCGTCTGTGTGTGGACATCACTGTGTGCGGAAGGACAAAAGCACAGAGGGCCCTGTGCAGGCACCAGGTGCAGAGCCAGCTGCACAGAGGAAGCCATTGTTCAGGCTCTGATGGTTCACTTATCAGGAGCTTCTCCCCTCCACCCACAGCTCTGGAGTTCTCCCAACTCCTTCTAAAGTCATAGGAACTAGAAAGGCAGATTTCCAAGCAGGGACTAACTAGACTTTCAGGGCCAAGTCCTAACCCAGCCTGCCTAGCAGTACACAGAGAGTGCCTTGATTCACAGCCTCATGGTGATGCTGGACTTTTAGTATTAAAACTGACATTTAAGGCTAGGCGTAGTGACTCAACCCCTGGAATCCCAGCACTTTGGGAGCCTGAGGTGGGCGGATCACTTGAGGTCAGGAGTTTGAGACCAGCCTGGTCAACATGATGAAACCCTTTCTTTACTAAAAATACAAAAAAAATAGCTGGACGTGGTGGCGTCTGTATTCCCATCTACTCAGGAGGCTGAGGCAGGAGAACTGCTCAAACCCGGGAGGCAGAGATTGCAGTGAGCCGAGATCATACCACTGCACTCCAGCCTGGGTGACAGAGTGAGACTGTCTCAAAAAAAAAAAAGAACAGAAATAAAACACTGACAAGTAAGCAGGTTGGTTTTAGGTGGGGTTTCCCAACTAAAGCTTTTCGAGCTCCCGCCGCCCTTTCTTCTCTGCTGCGAGTGTCGCTCCCTGTTATGCAGCCTCCCTTCCCCGAGGGGCTGGTCCCCTTTCCCATTTCTTGGGCAGCAATTCCTGTCACGATTCCTTCCTCCCGAGCCCGGCAGGCGTTTGAGTGACTTAGTCCTCTCGGAGCTACATGCATTTGGACAAGCACATGCCATCCAGGAGGAGACAGCAGAGTGGGGGCCTGGGAGCGAACTGGAGCTGTGGAAAGGGCTGCCATGGGCATCAGAGTGACTAATTCACTAGCACCACTGCCACTCAGGGACAAGGTTTAACCTGTAGATGCACCACAAGTTTGTAGTTCTGACATTCAACAGATATTTGTAGAGCATCCTCAGAGGGCTGGGCATTTTTGTCTCAGGCGGGGGACACCAGGTTAAACAGAACAGATCCTGAACCCGAGAGAGAGAGAGAGAGAGAGAGAGAGAGAGAGAGCTCGTCAAGTCCATAGGCAGTTAAACTGTGGCATGGTGCAGGGGAGGGAGTGTTGGGGGAGATGGAGCACAAGGGAGTTTGCAGACAGTGAAATGATTCTGTATGACACTGTAATGGTGGGCGTGTGATGAAGAACTGTACAGCACAAACAGTTGATCTAATGTATGCAAATTGAGAAAAAAATTTAGGAGGTCAAGTGATCCCAGCAGGAAATGCAGAATATGACAGTAATGGAAATGTATTACAGGTCCTCCCTGAAGCAGGTAGGGGAATACAAAATAAAAAAGGTGTGATAAGTTCTTCTGCCATTAGACTGAAACGTGAACCATAAGCAGGGCTCCTCACTCAGTCTTAGGCAGTCAGGGGAGGGTTCCTGAAGAAAGATACAGCTAAGCTCAGTCTGTTGGGGGGAAAAGTGGCCCAGGCAAAGGAAATAGCAGGTATTTTTCTAAAGCCTGGTAATAAAAGGAGCATAGGGCAAAAAGGAGGCTGGACAGTTAGGCACGGAGGACCCTCATATGCCTTACTGAAGAGCTTGTATTTTATCGTTAGAATTAATGCCCTTAGAGGCCGGGCGCGGTGGCTCACGCCTGTAATCCCAGCACTTTGGGAGGCCCAGGCGGGTGGATCATGAGGTCAACAGATCAAGACCATCCTGGCCAACATGGTGAAACCCCTTCTCTATTAAAAATATAAAAATTAGCTGGGCGTGGTGGCGGGTGTCTATATTCCCAGCTACTCGGGAGGCTGAGGCAGGAGAATCGCTTGAACCTGGGAGGCGGAGGTTGCAGTGAGCCGAGATCACACCATTGCACTCCAGCCTGGGCGACACAGTGAGATGTTGTCTTAAAAAAAAAAAAAAAAAAAAATTAATGCCCTTAGAGGTTAAACAGAGGGTGTGATCTGACCTGCCTTGCCATTAAAAAATATCGCTTGGGCAAGTTATTTAACTTCCAGAGCCTCTTTTCCTCATCTGTGAAACGGAGATGATGATCTTCAACCCCAGCCCTTTTAATGACACGCTGTCAAGGATTGCCTGGCCCTATGCAGTGTGGGGGACAGAGGAAAAAAGGCTAAGATAGGATGAGAGAGAACAGTTTGAAGGCATTTGTTAATACTTTAGTGAGGGATAAAGGAAGCCTGAATGAGGGTAGATGGAGAAAAGTGGAAAATTTGAGAGATGTTAAAAAGGTATATTTTCTGGCACTTGAGAGTCGGTTGGATGAAGGGAGAGAGGACAGGTGAGGAAAATGCCCGGATGTTTGGCCTGAGCCTCAGGGTGGCTCATGGCACTAGTCATTGTGACAGGAGCATGGGAGGAAACACAAGGTTAGCATGGGTGGTTCAGAGTTTACAGTGCCTGCTGGACATCCAAGGAGACGTGTTATGGAGACCATTGTGGATACACACTGCTTGGCGTGTTGCTGACACTAAATAAATATTTGTTAAGTGAATGATTGTGCTGGTTGAGTTCAGGAGAGAGCTTTGGACTGAAGACAGCAATTTGGGAAATGCGAAACCCAACCAAAAAATGTTTCAAAGATAGTCTACATGAGTGTACGCACAGTTACCAGAAGATTCTCATCACCCCATCTTCCATTGCCTTCCACTTCCCACATTTCTGGGATAAGAGAAAACTAGTGTGACACAGAATAAATAAATGAGAGGGAGGACAAATCTGTTCACAGCACCTAACTCAAAAACAATGGGAAGAGAAGATTATAGATTAAAAAT